ATATATATATATATATATATATATATATATGTTTTTTATATATATATATATATATATACATGTACATACATAAATATGTATATGTACATACGTAAATAGGTATATGTGCATAAATATCTGTGTATAAATTTATGTGTGTGTGTGTTTGTGTGTGTGTATGTTTCATAACACAAATTTGACCCTGTGAAAATTCACAATTTCTTTTCTTTATTAAGATAATATATTCGAATGCATAGGGTGATATATGCATCTCAGTCAACAAACGTTTATCCACTAATATGTATGTGTGTGTGTATGTGTATGCGTTTCTTATTACTTTAAACGTTATTTTTTTAGTGGATAAATGCTTATGTGCATATCTATCTATCTATCTATCTATCTATATATATATATATATATATATATATATATATATATATATATATATATAGATATATAGATATGCTTGTTTGTAGTTGTAAAAGTAGTTATTTACACAAGCATATCAAAAGCTGTAAAGAAAACAGTCGAGCATACATTCAAATATACACTGACACATTAATGCACGCAGTTTTCTTTCGAAAACTGAAATTTCCCCCCGTCAGATGGGACTTCTTCTTCATGTATTGTGTCCCCTAAGGACATTAGGTGATCATAGCTTTCCACAAGTTTCTGTTCTTTGTAGCTCTTAATTAGAATTAAATCATCAGTATTTTAGCAACAAAAAACGAAAAATATTCCATTGCTTTAAATAAATATAAACGTTCTATCGTAAAAAAAACTTCTTTAATTTCAGTTAATGTGCAATTAATTATAAATTTCTATTTTAATGCTTCAAGGAATTAATCGTTAGGTTCACATAAATATCCGATCTTTTGAACAGGAGTAGAGGTTTATCCCTTGTTCAATGTTTAGGATTGGGTTTCCACTTCCTTCTAAAGTCTTTTTTTCTTTCGCTCCTAGTAATCCCTTGCAACTCAAAGGCTTTATCGCTTTGCTTGGAGAGAATTGATTAAAAGAAAATGCCTGAAAATAAAGAATTCAAAACACTGAATTCTACAATCTTTTGGCCAATTTTTTTTATTGGGCTAAAATAGATATCATGCTGTCATGTCATATATAAATCAATTTAAGATATATAAAGTGATCAAAATCATAGACTTAAATTTTCCATTAGAGTATTTTCATATAATAATCAATGATAAATCGTTAGTAATAATAATAATAATAATAATAATAATAATGATAACTTTGAAATCGATAAAGTGTGGCGCATGAGGACATTAACAATTCCAGTTATAGTTGGAGCCCAATAGACTCATTGTAGCCCATGCCTTAAAGAAATAAAAAAAGTTGTACTCACAAGTGCAGCCCACACCTTACGAAGAACTTTTTCTATGTAAAATATATGCGATTTTTTTTTCAAAACTGCTCAGTGGAAAATGTCATGATGCCATTTCTGACCTTAGGTCTCTGGTTGGGACCCGGAAAGAAATGCGTACACTCCAGAAATCAAAGGAAATAAAACAATAAAATGATAATACATATATACAGACACACATAAATATAATATATAATTACTTACTTACACACACACACACACATATATATATATATATATATATATATATATATAGAGAGAGAGAGAGAGAGAGTTAAAGAGAGAGAGAAAGAGATATCTACGGTTTTAATGCACGTGATACATGTGAATCGACCCAAACAAAATTGAAAAATACCAAAGTTCTGTATTTTTTTCTGTTTTCTTTCAGTCTCTGTCGAATATTTAATAAAACTAAAAGATGTTAGACTGATAAGCATTTACAAATTGTTCGTTTTGTCGCATTCCGATGTATATTTGATCTTTAACTCATATACATGTATCTATGTATGTATGCATATTTTGAAAAGGATCTTTTAATAACATATTGTTTCTTATTACTATAAGTGTTATTTGTACTGGTTGCATTTGTTTGAGTTGCTATCCCTGGTCTTATTTTTCTCAAAAAGTCAAATTATTAAAAACTGTCCAAGAAGTCTGACTAAGAGAAAGCCATCTTGGCACCATTTGTCGTAAGAATCACTGAAAAACACTTGGAGCTGTTCAGCTAGAAAGAGAACAGCTTAAAATCGTTTTGTGTCAGCTTCACTGTCTTCCGAACTGAGCAATGGTGGGAGGAAAAAGATCATTCAGGCCTTCAGTAATGGTATCAAAATTCCATTCAAGAACCATCAGGAGAACGGTGAATGTGTTTTAAAAAAGTGGGAACAGTAGAGAAGATAACTGGACCAGGAGGTCACAACAGGAAGAGTGATCATAAAGAGTTAAAGAGGTCAATTAGAAAAGATCCAAATCAATCCATAATCCGAGAGCGATAAAGGGGGGAGTTTCTACTATGACAGTCCAAACAGCAGTGAAAAAATACTTGATAATGAAATCGTACGTCAAACAACTGGGTACATTGTTACTCCCGGACAGGAACATAGAAGGTTAGAGGAGGCTAAGATCATCTTAAATCTGTTTGAAAATGATCCTAGAATTATATATATATATATATATATATATATATATATATATATATATTATTGAGAATTTATATCAATCCTTCAGTGAACTTCTGATCGTTAGCTATGATTAATTAATAATGAATATGTCATGTGCATTTATGATCGTCACGTTTAAACTTGGAGAGTAATCATAAATTATTATTGCTCAGAGTAGAGTACAATAGTGTTATAAAACCTCGGAGAATTCCAGTCAGATATCTTTAATAACTTCTAAGATACAACGGCCTATATCTTAATCTAACAATTGGACAATGTTGCGATTACACACGGTTTATATATATATATATATATATATATATATATATATATATATTTTGACAAGATTTCTCGAATATTCAGGTTGGTAGACGTAGTTGGATAAAAAATACTGTTTAATTAAAAAAAAACAGCTTCTACTTGAATATGAGAATCCAGTAAAGATATATATAAGGCCTGACGATTGCGCCGAGCATGAAACACTGTCGCCTCTGAATGTTGACTTCAATATTCACTTTTATATCTACATATGCTCTATCTCTGATATTGAGCACTTTATCCCATAAATATAGCACATCTTAAAACTATATTTCTTCATATATATATATATATATATATATATATGTGTGTGTGTGTGTGTGTGTGTGTGTGTGTGTGTATTATAGTTATTTCTGCCTGTATATGCGTATTATTTTTATTATTATTATTAACAATTTATCATTGATTGTTATATGAAAAGAACCTGAAGGAAAATTTAAATCTTTGATATTGATCGCTTTAAATATTTTAGATTGATTTATATATTCTTCCATATTATATGTTATACCTATAATTATGTATGAGAGTAATAATGATAATGTGTGTGTGTGTGTGTGTGTGTGTGTGTGTGTGTGTGTGTGTGTGTGTGTGTGTGTGTGTGTGTGTGTGTGTGTGCTCTGTTTGTCTTCTTCAGTTTAAATAAAACGAAGACCAAACCGTGTGTGAGGGAAATGTCTTGGAATCTCTGAGAATAAGTGGGTATCATAAAGATTAATTACCCTATTTTATCATCTCCTAATTTCCAGTCTTGGAGATTGTCTGTCCATCTGTGTGCGTGTTTGTTTTATTTATAACTGTTTTCCTATTTTTCAATGTAGGATTTTAATTATATGTATATATATATATATATATATATATATATATATATATATAGAGAGAGAGAGAGAGAGAGAGAGAGATAGATAGATAGATAGATAGATAGATAGATAGATAGGGAGATATAGGGGAGAGAGAAAGATACACACACACACACACACATATATATATATATATATATATATATATATATATATATATACACTTTTACATAAGCGTACATACGTACACATCCACCTAAGCATATACATCCATTAAAGCCTTCGTTTTTTGTATACTTGTATATACATGCACACATTTTAAAAAAATTCCACTTTGTTTCTTTATGTTCACTTTTGTCTCGGATAAAATACATATATTGATATGTGGAAATTTGCATCTAAACGTCAAGCTGAAAGACAACAAGCTGATAAATAGATAGATAGAATTTATCTATCTATCTATCTATCTATCTGTCAAACTCTCTATGTTTCTATGGGTCCATATTTCTTATATTGCCCTCTTTTCCTCTCCCTCTCTCTCCATCCCTCGCTTCATCTCTTTCGCTCACTACCGCTCTCTGTATATCCCTCGCCGCTCTCTCTCACTCTCTATCTTACTCTCCCACCACTCTATTCCTCTCTCACTTTCCATCTCTCTCTCTCTCTGTGCAGCAGAATAAATAATTACAGGAGCAATAAGAACTACAGCCCCCAATATTTACCTTAGAAAACACCTTTAAAAACCTCCAATATCCTAACGCTAAGAGAAATGCGTGCAACATCTACAACTACAAAACTTTAATGGTATTGACAATAACAACACCAATGGTAATAAAATAAATAAAAACAGACACATATTACCTAATAGCCTATCATCTACTGTCCCAAAATATTTATCCAAGCTTAACAATATAAAATATAACAACAACGTCCAAAACTTTTATGGATATGATTGCAACCAAAATTATCCACAACAATAATAAGTCTAAAGCAGCTATATATAAAATAAACTGTCAAAACTGCTCCTCACAATACAATGGGGAAACTTGCAGAAATTTAAGAAAACGCATCTATAAATCCAAAAAGGATTTTATACATTACAATTTATGAAATGCATTACTCATACACAGAAGTTCAACCAAAATGTTTATATTACGATATATATGGATCTAATATATATGCATGTACGTATGCAGATAAATACACATATATGAAATATATATATCTATAACTGTGTGGGTGTGTGTATGTGCGTGTATGCATCCACGCATGCGCGTACTCTTCTGTGTTTGGGTGGGTATATATTTTCCATGTCCGACCAACTTCCAAAAATCTGACCAAATAATTTTATTTATTGATTTTTAGTCATAATGTCTTCTTGGAGATAGTGATAATTTTCTCAGCAGTATACCCGAGTGTAGATCGATGGATAGAAAGATATGGACTGAGATAGATAGATAGATAGATAGATAGATAGATAGTGGGGAGATAATTTACACTCGGTTCATTTCACAAAGGCTACGGCTCACAGAATTCCATAGTTATGACGTTACGTATGATAGTTGAAATTCCTAAATTAAAGAGAAGCATTCCATCTATCAATACACACAAAAATATATATATATATATATATATATATATATATATATATATATATATATATTGATAGAGGTTGAGATTTTAATTTTATATTAACGATAATATTGTTTTTAAAACTTTATTTCCTCCTATTCTTTTTGTTTATTTTAATAGATTGATTGATTTCTCTGTTTAGCGGCATGTCAACTGTTATTTTTTATTTGCTTATATATTCATCATATATATATATATATATATATATATATATATATATATAGTCTTTATTAACACTTATATAATTATAAATAAAAAATAATTTTCAAAATATTTTCCTATTCAAATAAACTTTTTGTTGAATAGATAGATTATTTAATGAAATATTTATATACAATTTGGCATCCCAAAATTAGAGGAATATATATATATATATATATATATATATATATATATATATATATATAGAGAGAGAGAGAGAGAGAGAGAGAGAGATGCATACATACATACATACATACATACATACATACATACATACATATGAAAGAGAAAGTTAAAAGAGAATAGAGATGGAGAGTGACACATTCGATTCTCTACCGTTTCAGGTTTTTTAAATTTAATCAATCTTTTTATGCCCGTTTACCTTGATATTTTTGATTAACGCTTCTGAAAGCTGCACATTAAAACATTTACAGTATTTTCGTGTAACTTTTATTTCCACAATTAAATATTGACAACCTGAAACTAATTGATATAAAAAACTTTGAGTAAAATTCTAAAACGATAATGCCGAAATTTGGTAGAATTTAAGCTACCACGAAAATGCCATCAGTTTTTAGAAATATGAAAGCATTAGCATTTTTTTGTTTCCTGTGTTTTTATAAATTCTTATATTTTTTATTCAAATTACATTTTGATAGATAGATAGATAGATAGATAGATAGATAGAAACGCACTGAAGTAGTTAGACAAATAGCTCTATCTTTTCATTTGTTTATTTATTGAAATTCAAGTATTACTTCTTTCGAAATTACACCAGTAAGAGATACTATTTTCTATAAATATTTTTTTTTTAATGAAAACTTTCGCGCTTTAATTTTACTGAACTTTTTGGTAGCACTTCATAGATAGATAGATAGATAGATAGATAGATAGATAGATAGATAGATAGATAGACAGATATTGATTCCTATACAGGGTGCGATGGGTGAACTGTCGCCATTTCATATATTTAATTTCGCACAGGCGCATTTTTTTTTATCGACTTTACATTATAGTAGGATCAGTTGGGCGGCGTCTATGAGAAAAAAAAAGCACCATGTTGCAATTCACTCCGCCGGAAATGTGAAAACGGCATGCTCTACTTCTTGGCATTCGCACCGGCAGTTCCAATACCAACATTTCAGAATGTTTGGGTGTCAATCTGAGGACAATGCAGATGATTCGGAAAGAGTTGGATGGGACGACGTTATGCTCCCATTCCTTTTCACACAGGGCCTCTGGCTCATCTTTGGGGTCTACATCAAGTGCCTTGAGCAGGTAGTACTGCCATGTGTCAAGGCGGTGGTTGCTGGAACACACTATATCTGGCAACAGGACTTTGCACCATGCCACACGTGTAGAAGAACCCAGTCATTGTTGTCAGACAATTTCTGCGACCACATCACCCCTTACATCTCCCCAAACTGCAACCCCCTTGATTATTATGTGTGGGACGCAGTTGAGCGAGAAGCAAACAAAACTCCAAACAAAGATGAACTGAAGACAAGGATCACGACACAATGTTAAACAAGGAGACCGTCCAGAAGTGTTGCAGGAGGTTCCAAAGTCGTCTGGAGCTCGTGGTTGACGCCATTGACGATTTTATTGAAGGGATTTAATTCTTTAGTATTTCAAGATATTTTTGTGTAATTTTGGTAAATATATTTGTTAAAGTGAGATGTTAGTATTATTTTCATATTTTAGACGATTTTTAGACGACAATTTATTCATCTCACACTGTATGTGATGGAGAGAACTTGAGATAAGGTATGTTTATTTTTTACTTAATTCTCGAAGAAAGGTTTATCTATTTAATTACTCATTCGGACGGATATTTTGAAATATTTTAATATAAGGTAATTCTGCAAAATTTTTATTTAATACTGTTTTTTTTTATATATATATATATATATATATCTGGGAAATCCCGGTGAATATTTATTAAAACGTTCACGTTGAAAAATTCTCACCTGTATGAATATTCCATACTGCACTTGTATTTGTTATAAAGGGGTACGAATCTTATAAGTGTCTCAGGTATACTTCAGAGGTCATAACAAAATCACAAGGATCTTGAAAATTTATTAATTTAAAATATTCCTTATTACAGGCTTTATTTTTGAAATGGAATAAGACCATTCTAAATTATCAAAATTGACTGGAAGAAAGCGATCTAAAAACAACAATGAAAGAGAGAGATAACAAAGTGTAAACGAAATAGCCCCACTTTGTTCAACTATGGAAACTTAGCATTGCAGCCAAAGTATTCTAAAATGCTGCCAATAAGAAAGGGGAAAATGAAAAATACCTAACAATGAATCGAATATAGATTCAAAAGTTATAATTCATTGTTTCCCGGTCGAGATCGGCTGAAGGGGGTTCGCCGGACAGTCAATGATACGATCCCTTACTAGCCTAGGGATAACTGAACAAAAAGAAAGCGGGCGATTCAAATTTACATACAGCTTCTTACAACGTTTCACCTTTCTTGGCAGATTTTCTATTAGGTTGGTGCAAAATAATGACGTAATAATGCCGTTTTTTGACCTTTAAAAATACATCAAAAAACGACATTATTACGTCATTATTTTTGCACCAACCTAATAGTATCACGATATGGAATATTTAATGACAAAAGTGATAAAAAAATATAAACAAAAGAAGAAAAAGTAGAAAAAAAAAATCTTTTAGACTATATGACTCGGATATAATTTTTGATTTCTTGTTGAATACGGCTCTTCAAGGCGTATTCAACCAGAAATCAAAAATTGCTTTTTTTCACTACAAATTATTCATTATATCATATTCTACTTAATGCGATCTCTTTTCCTGCACTAATTTAACTAAAAAGGGAACGAAAGAAAAAAAAAGACTATGGGGTAAAGATAAAAAGTTTTGCGTACACACCCACTTCCCAAAATCTGATCAAATCTCCAAACAACAGAATTTTATTGTTAGGAATATAGTTCAAACGCCCTACGAGGCTGGCATTCCGCTCTCACCCTTTCACTGTCGAAACTCCTAAATGTAGCCGTCTCTTCTACTCCAATAGCTTCATACCTCGCACTTCTCGCCAGTGGAACACTCTTCCCAATTACTGTCTCCTTGAAAGCTATAATCTCCAGCTATTCAAATGTAATGTCAATCGACATCTCCAGTTGCCTTGATCTATCCACTATCCTTCTCCTCATCTTTTCTTCTATCACTCCTATCTGATCTTGCTCCAAATCTTCTGTAACCTCTTACGTCCTAGTGGCTTCTCGCCTTGCTCGGGGTGAAACGCTTAAAAAAAATTAAATTCTTGTAACTGTTTGATTTTTGTATCTCTGATTTGGAATTTGCATTTTGGTGACAACCATGCATTCTAACTTCTTGCAGTTCATAGTTAGTCCTTTCTTCTCGCTTTCTTTCACTATATTCTGTGTGAGCTTTTGTAGTTTTCTTCCCGTGTCTGCTATGAACATTGTATCATCTCCATATCTTATGTTGTTAAGGTTGTGGCCGCCAATAATGAATTTTGGTAGAACATCTAATTCTCTCAGAATTGCCTCGCTCTATAGGTTCATTAATCCGGTAAGAAGACACATCCTTGTTTTACATTCATTTCTATTTTTGTACATCTGCTGAGCTCATTTTCTCGATGTATGTAGGCTGTTTGCTGCCAATATAAGTTCTGGATTATTTTAATATGTTTTCCAAATTTTTCAAGGTTTCTAAGCAATTATAATCGACCTTTGTGGCGTATTTTATCGAACGCCTTTGCGTAATCTATGAAGCACAGGTACAATTCCTTCTGTATTTGTATTGCTCTTTCTGATAAGTTTTCTGTTCAGACCAGTCATTACATGGGGTAAGGCAAAGTTGTAAAAGTATGGCTTCTGTTTGAAAAAAACGCTGATGAGAAGAGATACTCAGCATCTACAGTGTTTATATTTTCTTTACACTGATAATGCTCATCTGAGTAAATAAACAGTTCCATACGGTGCAAATATTTTGGATTTGTCGCTTAACTGGTATATAGCTAATGTTTTGTGTAACTTTTTAATCACACCAAGGACTTCAAATGTTATAAGTAAAACAAGAGTTTTAAGGTGTGACAATTTTTACATTTTAAGACAATTATACATTATTTACATTATTCGGACTATGGTCATCATCTTTGTCGCCATATTTATTACAACGTTTCGGCCGTTGTACGCTCCGGCCTTCTTCAGGTGGTTGGAATGTCGAACTGAACCCTTTATTTCGCTCATTTCCTGTTAATTTCCCTCTGAAAGTTCTCCACTGTTTTAACCGGGTATTGAACTCAACTGCCTTATCCGGGTATTGAACTAACTGATAACTGACATCCATCAAGCATGGCACGTGGAACTAGAACAATCTACCCCAATGAGCGAAATAAAGGGTTCAGTTCGACATTCCAACCACCTGAAGAAAGCCGGAGCGTACAACGGCCGAAACGTTGTAATGAATATGGCGACAAAGATGAGGAGAATACTCCGAATAATGTAAATAATGTATATAATACCTCATCTGAGAAATATAGACAGACTTTAAAACAATTATATTTCATTGTCATATTTGCTAACAGATATATGATGACGCTACCATATATATATACGAAAACATTTTCGTAATCATTATATCTGGTATATTATCTTTTAGACACACACACAAACGCGCGCGCACACACACACACACACACACATATATATATATATATATATATATATATATATATATATATTCTAATGTATATACTGCCTAATCTTATGTCGATTTTTGTGTCAGATTATTGCAAAATTTCGAGCCCGATTTTCATTTCTTAATATAATTTCTAATCGGACACAAACTTTTGCAATGATTTAATATTTCTTTGGTGTCAAGATTGGACAACAGTCGCGCCATGTTGTTCACATGATCTACATTTATAAGTCCGTAACGTTTTTTGTTACGTTTGCCTTGTAATTCCAAGTGAATAGGCTTTCATCCTATGCAGCCATGATAAATGATTCCGTTTCTGCTTTTATCCTTCAGCTCTTCAGTCACTGATATGTTTATCTACATCGGCATCGTTACTTTTTGAGTGCATATTACCGATGTAGCATTTTTTCCAGGTGTGTGTGTTTTTTAATTGTTTAAACCTTATATTTTAGCCTTTTATTTCATGTGGTGGTTATCCTTAGAGTGAAATAAGATCACTTCAATTCTTTAACATTTTCTCCGTGTCCTAACAAATCCCGGTACTGTCATGATCTGGACAGTCTCAATTGTCTGGACAGTCTCAATTGTCTGGACAGTCTCAATTGTCTTGTTTAAAAGTTTCAATTCGTCCAATATTGCCTCGTGTTTTGGCACGATTCCAAGTTGTCCCAATTATTATGGGTACAACCTTTATATCCTAGAGTTTTCTTATTTCTCGAACGAGATCTTATTATTATCATTAGTGTTATTATTATTAGTAGTAGTAGTAGTAGTAATAGTAGTAGTAGTAGTAGTAGTAGTAGTAGTAGTAGTAGTAGTAGTAGTAGTAGTATTAGTAGTGTTAGTAGTAGTATCATTGCTTCATACATTTCCGTATATTTATGCCAGGTATCTCTGTGATTATCTTTGAAAGCCAATCTAGTAGTAGTATATCAAATCTGCAGAACCTTCCACAGTATCGTTCATATCATTATTGTTATTGATTTGAAATGCAAATTAAGCTGTTAAAATGTTACGAAGTAATTTATTTTGTCAAAAGAAACGCTAAGCCTCTCTTTCTTTCTTTCAATCTCTCTCTCTCTCTCGTTCTCTCTCTCTCTCTTTCTATATATATATATATATATATATATATATATATATATATATATATATATATATATATATTATATATATTTTGTCTCTGTCCTGTCAGTAAAGAATTAAATAAGTTTTTCCGTCGTGAAAATAATATAAATGTTGTTATTAATACCCTAAAGTGATGTGGTTAATACTATCCATCATTGTTAATATAAAAATAATAAAGGACAGACGTGAACTCTTATGCTTATGGATAATATCAGTCAAGATCTGAGATAAGTAACTTTTAGTGTGTCAGAGATAGATAGATCTGTCTCAACTTCTGAGCAGACTTAGATAGATAGATAGATAGATAGATAGATAGATAGATAGATAGATAGATAGGTAGATAGATAGATAGATAGATAGATGTTATTAATTTCAAATGATTCAATTTGTTCCCGAAGAGCGGAGTTATATTTTTTGCGAAAATCCTGTGATAAGCTATGGAACTTATTATTTAATTCATTTAATTATTACTATTGACTTATTTCTTAATATTGGGCACTTTTCAAAAATCCGCTAGCCTTAGAAATGTTATCCTCCAATAATATGCTAGTTGACGGTTCCTTTTGGGCAATAACAAACCTTTGCTATTATTAATATTGTTATTATTATTCGTTAGATATATAGATAAGAATAGAATAGATAAATTTAATGAATATGTTTCTAATAAAAAGGACACTTATGACTAATATCAGGAAGAGACAGTTGGAATTTCTAGGGCGCATAATGAGGAATGAAGGCTTGGAAAATTTGATGCTCACAGGACAGATTGAAGGCAAGGAGAAAAAGGAAAACAACGCATAACATGCCTAGCGAACTTGAGTAAATGAATGGCGGAACAAGGTTTAGGAGAGATAACAAAAAGACAAAACTTTGTTAAGAGCTACAAAGGACCGGAAATAGATAGATATGTTTATCATTTAAATAAATTAAAATAGATAGATATGTTTATCATTTAAATAAATTAAAATAGATAGATATGTTTATTTATTAAAGACATTTTTATTTATGTTTAACGTTGTTATTTTATAGATACAAGTATTTAAGCAAATGCTCTGTTTATGATAAACAGTATTAAATAACATTTACCGGCCTGAATGTCCGAGAAATTTTCATAGAAAATATTCGTTCATAGACAGGATTCGAACCTGCATCCTATACGGAACCGTCATATACGCTGACGTGCCTTGACCACTCGGCCACCATGAACCTTATGGTAGACAAGGTCGAATTTACTGTTATAAACTACAATCTTCCATGAATCTCGTACATTCATAACTGCTCTGGCGTATCGAATGTAAACAAATGACGTCATATGTTAAGAAATGGACGAACCTGACATCCTATTTATTAAATCCATTTTTCTTTATGAACGAATATTTTATAGATACAATATTTTCGAAATTCAGGCCGGTAAATGTTATTTAATACTGTTTATCATAAACAGAGCATTTTCATAAATATATTGTATCTATAAAATAACAACGTTAAACATAAATAAAAATGTCTTTAATAAATAAATTGTCGGACCTCGTCCATTTCTTAAGATATGTTTATCATTTAAATAAATTAAAATAGATATGTTTATCATTTAATTCTGAAAAAACAGTTGGTTAATATATAGTTTATTTCCTCCAAAAATATTCGTCTACCGCAGAAAAAAGCTCGTCATCTCTTCCTAATGTGAAAAAAAACCCACAACCAATAAAAGGGAAAATAGATAGAAATCAAAGAAACTTGTCATCACTTTAGGTTTTAATAACAACGTCGTGAAGCGACACGCAAAAATTATTTGTAATATAAATTAGATATTATAACCTAAAATCCACATAATATGTTTATCAATTCTGAAAAATCAATTGGTTAATATTAGGTTGGTGCAAAAATAATGATGTAAGAATGTCGTTTTTTAACGTAGAAAAGTACGTCAAAAAACGACATTATTACGTCATTATTTTTGCACCAACCTAATATATAGTTTATTGTAAACGCACTGATTTGCATAATCTTATCGTGTCGATAGATATGAAACGATTGATATAGTTGTAGCCTGCATCACCATTATGTAGATCTCCTGAGCATATAACCTTTCTCGTGATGTTACTTGTTTTTCAGATTTTGCCACAGACATCAAGATATGCTAATGTTACAATGCATTTTGGTAATGAGAGAGGTGTCGCCTGGAAGATGGGAATCAAGAAATTAAATCTCTATTATTATTCTCATCGATTTCCAGCCAGATGTTAGTAGAAAACAAAAAATCCCGGAAAACATAGAAATAACATAGATAATAAGTTTTAGATAGATAGATAGATAGATAGATAGATAGATAGATATGAAAGGACGAAAACCAATTAGCGGGTAAGTATTAACAAATTTAGATAGATATGAGGAAAATGAAATACATGTTGATATTATAATTCTCGGTCTTTTTGCTGGAATTAATAAAGGTTTTTGTTCGGGTGCTCTTATTTCAGGATAATCGACTAAACCATGCTATGACCATTATATAGTTATCGATATATCTGAAAACCATTTTAACAAATGTATTCCCAAAATCCTAGCGCCATAAGCAACCAACAAAAAGAAACATGTTTTTTACGACTTATCAACCTTTTCGCAGGTTATTTAAAGACATAAAATATATTTTTAAATTGTAAGAATTTTTTTTTTTGAGATAGTAAGGATTTAATGATATAATTCCTACTAATTAACCCATAGGTGGGAGGAGAGAGAGATTCATACCTTTCCCAATGTATATCCGCGTAAGTGAATATAACGAACCCAATTGGAATTAGAACTCGGCTTTCCATTTCCGAGCTCTTATCCATTACACCACCCGAACACCCAAGTTTACAGCACCTGGTACTTCTAAGCGATGAATCATCTTAGAGAGTAGTAAAGTGTGGAAGTGAGCAAAGATATGTTCTTTGGCCCCGGCTGTTGGTTGTCTTTACAGGGTTAAAACTGTGATGCGATGAACAGGGGGTATAAAGAACATAGGCAGAGCGAGAAATATGCCAACATGTGTTGCTCAGTTGGCAAAGGTCCGTAACCAAAAGACCGACTTAAACGAGGCTATCACAGTCACGCTCCAGCGAACGCCGCTTTATCGAAAGAAAATCCCAAATGTTTTGTTTACTACCAACACAGTTCTTGTCGTCCTTCTGTCCCTTAGCCGCTACCTCCACCCAAGCTGAGCCACCCTGGGGCTCCATCACACCCCTTCCACTTCATTCAGCGCATCTCTCATTTCAAGATTCAGGAAATCTGCAAATCTCATTATCTGAGAATGTCTACGTCAACGGCAATGGAGCAACTGTTAATCTCAACTGGTTTTATACAGCTACTGACGGATGCTGACCAAAGATGCTAAGAAATGGGGCCAATTTGTCATTCGATCCGCTGAAGACGTTGGTTATATTTAACCAGACACTTCGTGTTCGAGCCGAAGTCGGGAATAAAAATGCAGACTAAAAATACTTAGAATTAGAAAGAGATCGTTGAAATGTTAAAAACACATCATGAGGAAAAAGTGCTTGTAGAATTTGACACTCTCAGGCTTCAATGGCAAGAACAGAGGCAGACAGCGAGTAACTTGTCGAACAAGTTTGTGTAAAGTGATGGCAGATTAGAGCGTAGGTAAGATAGCCGAGTTCGAATTCCAGGTGAATGCATTACATTCACTTAAATGCTAATACCCTTCGCTGTGGGTTCATAGAAGAACAGACCGGGTTCTATAGCTTTGGATGGCAACTGGTCTACCGCAGAAAAAAATGGCAACCTAATGCGGGAAAAAAATTCTGCCTCGTCAGTCATGTATCGAAAGATACATGATTGCCTAAGTGTGTATCACGCATTGCACATAACTGAAGATAGCAAAAAACATTGCTTAAAGCTACAAAGAACAGGAAGTTATGGGGTAGCATGATCGCTTACATCTTTGTGGGAAGCACAGCACAAAGAAGAAGAAGAAGAAGAAGAAGAAGAAGAAGAAGAATGGTCGTGAAAATTAGTTATGGACCGATGTGTAACATAACGTTAAATTTGTTTTTTCAGACTAAAGTTTAAAAAAACAAGAATGCTGTGCCAGTTACTGCTCAGTAAATTTAACAAAAAGACCTGTTGTTAATAGAAATATTTTTGCAAAACTAATGTAAATATTCAGTTTTTGATAGATTCTTATAAGAAAATTTACTAACTAGTTATGTCGACTGTCGCAATTTTGTTGAGTTTGATTTTTTTAAGGTTTTCCACGTTTTTGTCATTGGAAGAAGATCAGTAAACATCGTACTTCTTTATGTGTCGTGTCCTATCAGGACATAAGCGATGATGGTTCTTCACAACCTCCTGCCACTTGTAGCTCTTAATATACTTTGTCTTTCTGTTATTCCTCCTAAGCCGTGTTCCATAATCCATTTACTCATGCTCATTAAGTGTTATGCGTTGTTTTCCTTTAACCCTCTTGCTATCTATCTTGTGAGTATCAGATTTTCCAAGTTCTCCTTCCTTATTGTCTAACTGTCTCTTCCTGATGTGAAGTATTTACATTTTTTTTTCAATTTCCTTCAAAAATTCGTCGTTACGCATATGTTCCGTCCACTGTATCCTCAACAGAACATTTCTGTTGTTTCAAGTCTACTCATCGTCTCTGAGTAGATCGTCCAATATTCACTGCCATACAAGAGGACAATTGCGTAGCAGTTTAGTACTCTTTTCCTTTTTTTCTAGTACTCTTCTTAGCTTTTGGAATACTTCCTTGGCTATCCAAATACGCCTTCGAATTTCATTGTCACACTTTCCGTCTTCTGTTAAAACACTTCTCAGATAGTTAAATTTTCGCACTTGTTTGATTTTGGTATCTCCTATTTGCAATTTGCACTTTGGGCTCATCTTTTTGCTAACAAACATGCGTGCTATTTTCTTGCAGTTGATGTTTAATCCTTTCTTCTCGCTTTCCTTCGCTACAATTTGTAGGAGTGTAGCTTTCTTTGTGTCTGCTATCAATACTGCATACCTTATGTCGTTAAGATTGTGGCCGCCAATGGCAAATAGGCAGGATCTTTAGTTCTCTCAGAATCGCCTCGCTGTATAGCGTGAATAAGTCCAATGAGAAGACACATCTTTGTATTACACCACTAACTATTTTTGTGTATCTTCTGAACTCATTTTCTATCCGACTGCAGGCGGTTTGCTGTCAGTAAAGTTTCTCGATTATTCTAATTTCCTTCCCAAATATATCAAGATAGCAGCTCTTATATGACAAAAATTGTTTTGTATATGCCCCGCGAATTAGACATGCTTCTAAAATTGAGACACTGTGTTTCCAAAAACCCCACAACCAATAAAAGGGAAAATAGATAGAAATCAAAGAAACCACTTGTCAATAAATTTGTTTTTATTTTGTATTTTATTTATTTATTTATTTGTAAATTTGTTAATAGCATAAAGACTGGTTAAAACAGGGGAGATAATTAAAACAGGGGAGATAATTATGATATAAATTCTTGTGGTAAAAATAAATCACTGAAGTTTCGAAATCGGTTATTTTCTCTTTGACAAATCAAAATTGTTCGTAAGTTTATTAATGAAGTCATTTACAGGAGCAATCAAAAATGTTAGGAAGACGTCTCTCTGCTGAGAAGCGAGGCTCTTCCCTTTAAGAAAGCCCTCAAACATCTTGCTTTTTTTTTCTTCTTTATCTTTCTTTAATAATTTCACCCACAAAAAAAACGGAAATGCCACTAATACACAGGGGGTTCCGGGGAGTGAAAGTGAGAGAAAAGGCTGAGGATTTAGGTAATGACAAAAGATGAACGGGATTCAAGAAGATAGAATATGGCGACTGATGTGTTTAAATTTTTGAAAATTGTAGTCTCAAGGAAACAAGTAAACGACGGGAAGTGCAAAAAAAAAACTGTTGGAGTAGAAGCAGCGGTTTCATTTAGCTATTTCAACAGTAAACGGGTGGGACCTACATGCCAATCTAGTAGCACGAGACGCCAGGGGAAACGCTCGTCAAAGCAGTTGCCATGAAAATATTTGGATAAAAGAAAGAGGGAAGCCACGTCACGCCCCGTCGGTAAGAAAATAACTGAAGTCGTGATGCCAAGTCAGGATCGATTACATTACAGATCCTTCTTTGCATTTTGTCAAGTCGGTGGATAAAAGTATTGGTTAATTGATCCAGAAGTGACTTGACACAAAGAGTTGTGAGTTCAATCCCTGGCCACAGCAGAGAGAACAAAAACTTAGAAAGTTGTCTTATCAAGGGGAATTAACTAAAATTGAAATATCCAAAGACATGACACGCAAAATTAAAACAATCCATCCCCGTGGACTAAATAAAGACTTCGGTCCGAAATTCCAAATATCACCTGAAGGGGTTCGGAGCGTACAACGGCCGAAACGTTGGAAATATGGCAACAACAGTCCGAACAATATAGTGTAAATAGTTACAATAGCTCGTCACAGAAATATAGACAGATGTTGATTAGAACTGAAGTCATGTTCTTAAATCATCTCCTCAAATCTAGACTCTCATATCGATGTCAAGAATAGCGTCCATCTCGTTCAGAAATATCCAAACTATCAGCTATATACAATCGATTATGATTCATCAATGATTAAAATTAGCCCGAAATGAATGAATCCTTTAGATCTTAAATAAGATAACCCTCCATCAGATTCTATAGACACGCGATACAGAAACATAAGCAAAATCTTTACCAAGTAACAAAAACCACATCGTTTGAAGACTTCCAACAACAGCAACAAGTAAAATGGATAGCAATTATTCCTAAAAATAAAAATAGGTATATAATCAAAATGTTGGGTTCTCACACTATTTTCAATAAAAGATTTAGAAAAAAGACTCCTATAAATACTAGAAAGAGGGATAACAGTGGACCTGAGAAACATATTTTCTTGAAAAAATTGTTTTAAGAGAAAGATTTTATAAATTTCAATCAATAGTCGTCAATGAATGGGGAATGCTTCTTTATAAGGAAATAGCTTATATGAGGTTTCAGATTAGTGATGAGGAGGAGATAGACTAGAAAAGGGCGATAACTGCTACTAGACTTGAGAAATTTATTTCCTCGAAAAATTGTTTTAAGAGAAAGATTTTAGAATATTCAACCGAAAGTCACGTTAAATTTTCGGTTAATGAATGTCGATAGTTTCTTGTATTACAACTATATCACAAATGCACATTTAAATATATTAAAATAATTAAATATTTGAGACAGAGAACTGAGACTTATTTCCGTATAATTTGCACGAGTAACAAATTCGGCCATTTCTAAACACAGACAGGAATATGTTTTTTTTTTTCTCTTAGAAAAGAATCGACTATTAACAGAAAGAATTAAGTTATGTTTATTATATGTTTTCAAGCCTTTCAAAAGCTACAAATAAAAAGATTGGCAAAACAAAACAAAGTAAGACATAAAATAGCAGATCGAGAAGAAATACACACTTTTCCTTGGTCAAATCTCGGTATTTTCGTTCTGAAAGAGTTATGGTTAATGAGCCTGTTCTATAAATATTTGCATGATTGAGGGAGGGCGTATGAAAGAGATGAAAGTGAAGTTTAGATAACAGTGCTGACACATTCCTAAAGATATTTAAACATCGCAATATAATGATATCGTTTTATAAAAACATCGACACATGTGGATGCACACAGACATACACAAACATTAATATGTATCACAGGATATAAATACACACACACACACACTCATATATATATATATATATATATATATATATATATATATATATATATATATATATATATATATAGTTTTATATGATCAGTAAACTTTTAATATTAAAAATAAGGAAGTATGAGTATATATATATGCACAAAATATATATATTTGCATAGACATATATATGTGTGCATATACATATACGCACACAAATATATATATATATATATATTTGTGTGCACATATATATATGTGTGTGTGTCATATATATGTGTGTGTGTGTGTGTTTAACTATTTATATACTTTATTATACTCATTTTTAATTTTTCCAAACATCATGATTAAAAGTTTAGTGATCATATAAAACGATATATATATATATATATATATATATATATATATATATATATATATATATATATATATATATATGATCCCTTGAAAATGGCTAAGTTAGTGGCTGAAAGTGCTTGGGACATTTTACAGCATTGACATATTTT